AATAATATACATTTGTGGTTGATGAACCCGACATGTCACCTGATACCACCGACGGCTTTCTCCACACAAGCCAGCAAGTCACCACCGACACGTCACGGAGATCCAAATCAAGTGCAATGTCCTTACCGTGGGCCCATAAAAGCTGGGTCGACCTTGTAGATGCCCCAATGCGACATCCTAACCAATCCTCACCTTATCAAATTCACTGTAGTAAGAAGAAAGTTAACTATATTTTGGTCCTTAAACCTTAGAAAAAATTTACTTGAGCCCCTATATGCTACCTATTGCCTAACAGAGTACGTGTAGACGTAGATTTGAGGGATTCTTGTTCTTTCAATAAAGCTAATTTCAGTTGTTTTCTAAAAATTAAATAATTAAGGAAAGTCAATGAAAACTTTTCATGAGCATTTATGAGATATTATCACTAAAGATTCATAAAGAAAAATGAAAAAGAAAGTATAAAAAATAAATTTCTTAATATATTTTTAATTATTCATCACAAAGTCGCACTTGAATATCTTGAATAATTTGAGAATTAATTAATTTAGTTTGATTAGCAATAACATTTTGAGGTTGAGGATTTAAATTTAACACAATTGGACATTAATTAATTTTATTAAATGTAGATGGAGTATTAAAATATGTGCAAATCCTGTATGAAGTTCAATTATTTCTAAAATTTTATAAAATTACTCTTTAAATCAAATAATTATGATTCAAATTGAATTTATCATTGATTCTGTAGTTGAATAACTAAGTGTAAAGAATTTCAAATAATTTTTGAGATAACGAAAAATGAATATCTACTTAATACAATGTTTATCAATATAAAAAAAACTAAAAATAATTATGAGTTTGAATTCTTTTAAAATCATTAAAATTTTATATGGTTATTAATTTTAAGATTTATATAATTAATTAAGGTGTGTTTAAATTAAGTCGCCATCCACTTTAATAAAAAAACACAATTTGAAAATTAAAAATAATATCACAAAATTGAATAAATAGATACTCGAGCGGAATATTACTCAATCTATAAGGACCAAAATGAATTCCAACAATAAAATAAAATTAAAAAAAAAAGCCCAGTCTACCAGATCCAGCAGTCCCAAAGCATCGTTTCTTTCGAAGCAAAATACGTGTTGACCCTCCCGTCCCTCCCCTCACACTTAATAATATAAACACCAAATTTCCACACCAGAGACCAGCACAAATCCACAACCTCTAGATCTATCACCTCATCCTCTCCATGGCGAGATCTCGATCTCTGCTGTTAACGATCTGTACGATTCTCGCAATCCTAATCCATGGCGCGCACTCCTTCTACCTCCCTGGCGTCGCTCCTCAGGATTTCTTTAACGTCAGCTCTCTCTCTATCTCTCTTTCACTCTTACTGCATGATCTACAAGTTTTTGTTTCAGATCTCATTTTGCGCTTTGTTTGTTTGATTTGTGCAAGGAGAATGAGTGATTTGTTAGGTTTCGCGTTGTTCTTCGCGTAGTTAAGTATGGCATTTGATTTTAGATTCAGATAGTTACTTATACGACTTGCTTAGAGATTTTGTCGAGTTTTGTTTAGGTTTTGTTTAGTTGTGTTGTGTTTGGATTCAGTTACTGAAAATGCTTGATTTTTTTAAGGTTAATTAAGGTGGTTTAGGGATTGATTAAGCTGCAATTTACGTTAATCTTTTTGGACGTTGCGGTTAGGAGGAGAAATGGACGTTTGGTTTTACTTGTTTGGCCATTTGGTTTTGACTGAGTGGATAAACAAATGAGAAGATGAGTTTGAGGTTAGGTATTGATTGAGTTAATCTTGATCAAAATTATAATTTTTACTAGCATATGGGAGCGTGGGATTTGTTGTTGCTTTATGTTATATTATAGACATTGTGTTTCTTTCTTCGTTTTTGTCTTTCGTTTCTGGTTATATTAAAGAGTTGAAGATGCTATAGCGAATGGTTTGTGTAAGTTGAATTGCAGTGTTACTTTGTGGCGATGGCTTCATATAGAGAAGTTAATGTTGAGTTTGCCAGTTTTTTAGTGTGAGAGCAGCCTATTTCTGATTTCTGTTTCTGGGCTTGGGTTTATGTAATTAGGGAGCTTTAGTATTACTTTTTTTCCCCTCAATTGTTTTGCTTATGAATTTTGTTGCTCTTGTTGGTTGTGATTGTATGAGACTGTACAGGGATTACATTCTGACATCTTGCTGAACTAACTAAGAATCAGTAAGAAATGGCGGAGACTTCAATTTTTATTTTTTAGTTTATTTATTTGTTGTTTTTCCTCTGGTTGCAGGGTGCTGAGTTGACGGTGAAAGTGAACAAATTGACCTCTATAAAGACACAACTTCCGTACTCATACTATTCTCTTCCTTTCTGTACCCCATCCAAGATTGTAGACAGTGCAGAGAATCTTGGGGAAGTGCTTCGTGGTGACCGCATTGAAAATTCCCCATACACAGTCAGTTTCATCATGCTGGATAGTTTCTTCTAACTCTTACACGTACAATATTATTGCTGAACTTTTGAGTTGGAATTATTGCAGTTTAAAATGGGGGATGCAAAGATGTGCAATATTCTTTGCCGGAAAACACTTGATGCCAAAACCGCGAAGGCATTTAAAGAGAAGATTGATGATGAGTATCGGGTTAACATGTATGAAACGCTCTCTTTAGGCATGCAAGCTAGCTACCAAATCTCATGAGAAATGTGAAGTTTGTTTTTCTGACTATTCTATCACTCATGTGACAGGATCCTTGATAACCTTCCTCTTGTTGTTCCCATCCAAAGGCCGGATCAGGAATCTCTCCCTGTTTATCAGCTTGGTTATCATGTTGGGCTCAAAGGCCAATACAGTGGGGTATGTTCGTTGTTGCACTTCAATTTCCCAGTACTTCTTAATGTGTTGGTTATTTCTGGTGCTCACATTGTCTGGTTATGTGCAGAGCAAAGAAGAAAAGTATTTTATCCACAATCACCTGTCATTCATTGTCAAGTATCATAAGGATACGCAATCTGATTCTTCAAGGATTGTTGGATTTGAAGTAAAACCATTCAGGTCAGTAATTCAAGGGTCATAATATTTTTAAAATGGCTGCCTCTTACCTGATTTCATGACTATATTACTTATTGTTTTTTGTTTTAATATACTAGTGTTAAACATGCATATGAAGGGAAGTGGAGTGATGAGAATCCTCGTTTAACAACTTGTGACCCCCATACAAGACATACTGTCAGTAATTCTAACACTCCCCAAGAAGTTGAAGACAAAGCTGAAATCATTTTCACATATGATGTTGACTTCCAGGTGAGATCTTGCACACGACTGTACAGCTTGCATTTAAGTTTTTATTTCTCTTTTGTTTTTCTTTTAAGATTGTCAACTATCATTATCTGTTACATGATAAGCAGTTGCAGAATCATCGGTTTTGATCCCTGCATGCCTTGACAAGCTATTATCCAGCGAGTCTCATTTGTTAATTTCTTTAATTACTATATTCATTTATCACATGGGCAGACAACAGTGAAATATCATACTTACTCATGAGTGAGTTCGCACTCTTATATTTTTCTCTCGGTTCGCCTCTCAGGATAGCGATGTGAAGTGGGCCTCCAGATGGGATGCCTATCTCTTAATGACTGATGACCAAATTCACTGGTTCTCAATTGTCAATTCATTGATGATTGTCCTCTTCCTCTCGGGGATGGTGGCTATGATCATGCTACGAACCCTTTACCGTGATATATCCAAGTACAATGAACTTGAGACCCAGGAAGAAGCTCAAGAAGAGACTGGATGGAAGCTTGTTCATGGAGATGTTTTCAGGCCCCCATCAAATTCAGACTTGTTGTGTGTCTATGTTGGAACCGGTGTTCAGTTTTTTGGAATGATCCTTGTTACCATGATTTTTGCTATTCTTGGATTCCTTTCCCCTTCAAACAGAGGTGGTCTTATGACAGCTATGCTCTTGCTTTGGGTTTTCATGGGCATTTTTGCTGGCTATGCCTCATCCCGGTTATATAAAATGTTCAAAGGATCAGAATGGAAGAAAATTGCCCTCAGGACTGCAGTCATGTTCCCAGGGATCGTCTCTGCCATTTTCTTTGTCTTGAATGCTCTCATCTGGGGCCAGAAATCATCTGGCGCTGTGCCATTTGGAACAATGTTTGCTCTGGTATTCTTATGGTTTGGAATTTCAGTTCCGCTAGTGTTTGTTGGAAGTTATATTGGATCCAAGAAGCCAGCAATTGAGGACCCTGTGAAGACAAATAAAATACCAAGACAAATCCCAGAGCAAGCATGGTACATGAACCCAGCCTTCTCAATTCTAATAGGAGGAATTCTTCCATTTGGAGCTGTTTTCATCGAGCTGTTCTTCATTCTCACCTCGATCTGGCTGAATCAATTCTACTACATCTTTGGTTTCCTGTTCCTCGTTTTTGCAATCCTCATTGTCACTTGCGCTGAAATAACCATCGTGCTCTGCTACTTCCAGTTATGCAGCGAGGACTATCTCTGGTGGTGGAGATCTTACCTCACATCTGGTTCCTCAGCGCTGTACCTCTTCCTTTATGCCACATTCTACTTCTTCACAAAGCTTGAGATAACCAAGCTGGTTTCAGGGGCATTATACTTCGGTTACATGCTAATTGCATCGTACGCCTTCTTCGTACTAACCGGCACAATTGGATTTTATGCATGCTTCTGGTTCACAAGGCTCATCTATTCTTCAGTGAAAATTGATTAACTCAAAGCAGACAGGGTAAGATTCAAAATTAGTAGATAAAATTATGCTTTCAGATGTTAGCCAATTTGCACATTTTTGGATTGAGACTTCATGACTTTGATGTTATTCTATCTGTTTTAAGAATCACTGCCCTTTTAAATATATAGATTCTTGACCGAGCTTGTGATTCTACCTCTTGATGTTATCTTCAGAGTGTTTAACTAGCTAGCTTGCTATTATCTGTTCAGCACACACCAAAATTTTTTAGAACTCAGCCGCAAAAACAAAAATGGACTTGGTAATGGATACAATTTATCATGGCTATATTCTCCATCGTGATGATGAAAAGAATAGAAAAGAAAAGAGATCAGCAGAACAGAAAGCAACTAATCAGCATTTCAAATATAAACTACATCCCTCCATATAGACTACAAACAGAAGGAACAAACAATCACAACCTTCTACTCCCTGGGATGAGTGTCCTCAGGATCGGCAGCACCGGTAGCTACCTTGGCAACATCACTGGCGCTAGCTTCGGGTTTTTTCTTGGCATACAACACCATATACCCTATAGCAGCGGTGATCCCGAACCCGGTAACTGCCATGGTAGCTGTGCTGAAGGGCAGCTTGCGCCTCTGGTGCAAAACCTCACCTGGGTTGTTGTTCCCTGGTGGCCTCTTGGATCCTTCTGCACCTGTTCTTCTCACTTCCTCAGGACTCATCTTGTGGGTGGCTGTTTTCCTCCCCCCGCTTCAATTATCTCTCAAAATTTATCCCCCAAGACATGTAACAATGGTTGCCACGTTTGACATGAAGGTTTAGTTCTTGAACACGTAGCAATTGCATGCAAGATGTTCATAGCAATCGCGACAAGTGGAGTGGAGATGGCTTGTATTTGAATATGGGTATGTTAAGCTGGATACCAAGCCCAGTCCATTTGATTGATGATTTGGGCTAGACAATCGAAACCAAGAGATGGGCTTTAAGAGTAATGGGCTGTCAAGTTAGGTCCGTTTTCATTGGCATATTAAGCGGATTATTTACCCGAGTATTAGCATGGTGGTCGTTTGGGATTTGACTTGCTAAAGAAACACTCCTTGGCAACCAAATTTCACAAGGCCAAGATGCAAGAAGAGAAGAGAGCGGTGTTCTCCTCGAACTTGTCCATTTCTTCAATCATATATCCATGGCTGTGCTGATTTGCAGCAGCAGCAATGTCAACTGAATAAAGCCTCGCTCTCTCTCTGCCTCACTACCACAAATATAAGCAACGTCTTCTAATCCGTTCTGTAGGAAACTTATCCGTTTAGACACCAATACCAAATTTCAATTTTCCCTTCATAATAATAATAATAATAATAATAGAAGAAGACCACTCCCTCCAAAATCTTCATCTTCTTCTTCATCATCATCATCAGTAAACGGCTATGTCAGTAACATAGAACAGTATTATGGCAGTGAGCAGCGGGTGGAGAGAGAGAGAGAGAGGATTCGGAGATTTATCGAGTTTCTTCCATCAATCTTGCCTGGAGGAAACTGGTGGCGCTTTTCTGACGAGAGGCGGAAATTAAAATCTTGGCCAAACCAGAAACCCGACAGATAGTTGATATTATTAATATTTCACAAAAGTCTAGTTTTTCCTATAAGAAAACACCCCATCAGATCTACACAAACCGTCACTACAAAGTTTGGAGAGTTTTCGTAGACAAATCTTCATGTTTTCTTGATGCCGGCACCTCCTGGGGTGAGTTCGAATTAAATTTGATTGGGCAGTGTTTAAACATTTTCTTTCCATCTTATTTTTCAGCTGATGTTCTCTAAAGACAAACATAAATGGGAAGTAAAGGGCTGACAGTTTAATGGGATAATAAAAGTAATATCTTAATGTGGCTTTGTTATATTTATAATGCGTTAATAATTCAATATACAATAATGTAATTCAAAAACAAGAAATTAATACATGCCTTTTTAGTTATTTTACCTCCAACATCACTTTCAAAAATATTTTTTTATTCAACAATAATTTTAATCAAATATGTATTTTAATCTAACTAACTATAAAAAAAAAATTAATTTTTTTTTAAATTACAATCATAAAAACTATCATAATATTAAACACATTCTAAACCTGATTGATTGATTTAGAGGGTGTTTGTTTTTGCGTTAGAAACCGTATTTTATAAAATCTTGATTTTTTTTATTTGAAATTAATTTTTATATTTTTTATTATTTTATATGTTAATATCAAAAATAAATTTTAAAAAATTTAAATTTCATGTATTTTTTGAATGAAAAATATTTTAAAAAGCAATTACAACATTACTCTCATATACCCCTTTAATCTTGTTAATTTAGAGCTTAGACCAAGCTATTATTTTTTTTTCTAAATAGTTTTGGACTCGATGAAATTCAAGTAATTTGATAAATTAATTTATAATCTAGTTAATCCAATTAAAACTATCAACTCCATGATTTGTTTTTAATTTTTATCTAAAGCAATCATTGTTTCAATTGTTTTAATCCATAAAAATAATATCATTTGAAGATTAATTTCACTTAATATGATGACTGATGATTTGGTAACAGGGGCTTTTAACTAATTTGACAGCAATAATGCGAATTATATAAATGAATAAAATGCAATACCAAATCAATGAGATATTAAAGAACTCATATTTTTATATAATATTTTTCGGTATTTATAAAAAAAAATTTGTTTCAAATAAAAAAGATATGGATTAATTGTGAGTTTTAAATGAATTTTAACAAGTGACTTGAAAGAATCTATAACCAAATCTTTTATTTTTATTATTATTATTCTAAAACAAGCTACGAAAATTGAGAATAAACTTATTTACTATCTCTATCAACTCTCAAAGCTTGTACAATAAACTCCATTGAGCTCTTTGTGCATTAATTATTATTTTTCTTGGAGCAAAATACCACTCAAAATAAATAAATCAAATTACACCAAATTTGAATATATTTTTGTTTTTTTTTAAAAAAAAAAAACAGTTGTATAGATAGATTTACTTCCTTTGACCGTTTAAGGTTATATCACCTTATCACGTCTTTTCAGTAACGGACAAAATGGCCCCACACTGTCCCAGGTTGCCCTCCATTGATTTCCTTCGCACCAACGGCTAGTTTTCATTTCCCCTTATAAATACAACAAAAAACGCTTTTGCAATTCGCAATTTGCAAGTTACCATTCTTTCCACAACCCTCTCTGCCAAAACTTGCAAAACCCTCACCTTTTTGCCCTCTTCCTCCAACTTTCTAAGTCCTCAACATCCATGGCTTCCTTTCAAAGAGCTATAGTGTTTTCTTTGGTGTTAATGTCTTTGCTTTGGGGCTCGTCGCAAGCTAAAGATTTGTTGGTTGGTGGCAAAACGGATGCATGGAAAATCCCATCTTCGGAATCTGATTCTCTTAACAAATGGGCTGGAAAAGCCCGTTTTCTCATTGGCGATTCTCTAGGTATATCTCTCGTTTTTTAATCCTAGTGTTTTTGAAATATTATCTGGGTTTCAGTTACTTTAGTCTCATTGTCTAAAATTACTTCTTCTTTTTTGACAGTGTGGAAGTACGATGGCCAGAAAGATTCAGTCTTGCAAGTGACTAAGGAGGCTTATGCTGCCTGCAACACTACAAACCCTATTGAGGAATACAAGGATGGAAACACCAAGGTGAAGCTTGACAGATCAGGGCCATTCTACTTCATCAGTGGAGCTGAGGGTCACTGTGAGAAAGGACAGAAAATTGTTGTGGTGGTTCTGTCTGAAAAGCACACGCAAGTAGGAAACCACGTAGGATCTCCTGCTCCTTCTCCAGTTGAGTTTGAGGGTCCGGCTGTGGCTCCAACAAGCAGCGCTTCAAACTTGGAAGGTGGCTTATTGGTAGCTTTGGGCGTTTTGGTTCTGGGGTTGTTCTAATGTCATTGTGCTGGGCTTGATTTGTTCATTCATTTGATTATAGCAATTCATTTATTCATACTTGGACCTTCCAATTTCTTAATAGAATGCCTACTTTTCTGAATTATTGATGAGACCAATATATTGTCCTTGGGCATACTTTCTGCGAAAAAAGAAGAAAAGAAAGCACTTCCAGCTCACGAGCTTCACCCTGCCCTCATTAAGGCGCAAGGATGAACTTTCTGTCAACAAAGGTCATATTTTTTCAGAACATCACCAAGGCCGTTGACAAAATAAGCAGGCTGAAAAATGACGGTCCTATGGAGAATCACATGCCTCTCACAAAAAAAAAAAAAGCCTCATGGAGTTCAACACAAGAATCACTGAATCAGATCACATGAGGAGTCTTTTACAACCACAACTCTCTCCCTGAATTTAAGAGATACCGACTGTACTTCCCAGTCCAAAAATAACAACACATGAGACAAGCGGGCGTGCTCTGAGGCTTTTCTAGCGGCGCCAGATTCATTCCCAAAATAGGCCGAAGTTGACACCTTGCTCGAGGCTGATGACAAACACTGGCAGATCTTGTCCGTGAAAATCCTGTGAAGTGTAGGGGGGAAAATAGTTTGAGAACTGGGTTTTCATGAAGTGTCCGTGAAATCCTGTCAACAAAGGTCATATTTTTTCAGAACATCACCAAGGCCGTTGACAAAATAAGCAGGCTAAAAAATGACGGTCCTATGAAGAATCACATGCCTCTCACAAAAAAAAAAAAAAAAAAGCCTCATGGAGTTCAACACAAGAATCACTGAATCAGATCACATGATGAGTCTTTTACAACCACAACTCTCTCCCTAAATTTAAGAGATATACCGACTGTACTTCCCAGTCCAAAAATAACAACACATGAGACAAGCGGGCGTGCTCTGAGGCTTTTCTAGCGGCACCACCTGCCATCACGAAACGCTTTTGACAATAACAGATTCATTCGCAAAATAGGCCGAAGTTGACACCTTGCTCGAGGCTGATGACAAACACTGGCAGATCTTGTCCGTGAAATCCTGTGAAGTGTAGGGGGAAAAATAGTTTGAGAACTGGGTTTTCATGAAGTTATAATAGTATCCATTGACTAGAGGAAAATTGAGTTCGGTTAATCGAACAGTGTGAGAACTGGAAAGATTTTACCATTCACATCTTTCTGCAACTTTGTTCAGCATTCACATCTATCTCTTTGCAACTATCTTAATTAGATTTTAGATACTTCAACCGCAGCTGCAAAGCTTTCTATTTCATGGGCTGTATGAGCCAAATAATGGTACATCACACAACCAACCACAACCAGCTTGTCTATTGCTTTCATATAAATTCTAAATCATATACAAGTTAATGTCTTGAAAGACTTCAAAATAGCATATTAACATGTTAAGATTTTATCTCGTTACTCAAAATTTGAGTTTTGTTTTGTTTTCTACTGTCACAGATTACACAGCATACTTCCATAGTTATCTATATCTCAAATTTAAGATATTAACCATTCATCGTTGTTTGGGACACAAGCATTTGCATTTCAACTGGTACTATTTTGTTAATTCAAACAAACAAACCTATCCAGTTACTTCAAACAAAAAGGTGACTTAGAAAGATTCACAGGAAAATCAGGAAGATCACACAATCAAGTTCAATCAAGATAGCACACATATACAGACATTGACAGCTAAATGCAAACAACTTTCATACTTTTTCAAGAAAAGCAAGGTAAAATAATAGAATATGAAAGAAAAAAATGAAACTTTCAGGAAAAAGGAACCCTGTTATGGATAAAAAACAATCTTACCATATACCAAGATATAGTAAAAAATCAGTCCACAGGATTGTCATCAGATGCCGAGTCAACTTTTATAAGAGGACCCTTGAAACCATCTGTGTTGCCACCAAAAAGCTCACGGGCAGCTTTTTCAAGAAATTCTTGGGCAGCGGCTTTAACTGATTGTTTTTCGGATGTATCATATTTTCTCTTCTTGTGGGTGCTCCTCTCCACATACTTAATCTTCGACCCTTCTCCTCTACTGATATCCCTCATGCTTTTCCGTTGTTCTGCAATAAGAAATGTTTAATATACGAAAATATGAGATCACAACAGGAAAAAAAAAGTGGCAATGCAGAAAAGTGATTGACCACCTACCAGGGGTAAGGTCAGGCAATGAATGCTCGATGAAACGGGTTGCAGCCTGGTAATTTAAAGTAGTAGAACGCTGCGATGGTTCTTCAGGAATGAATTCAGACTCAATTAATCAATAAGAGATATGTGAAATGACTGGTATCAACAAGCTTGTTGCAGTTAAAAATTTAAACATGGCGAACAGCTTTCCATCTAGCGCTCATTGTAGTTTCAAAACTTAGACATGGCACTTTCCATCTAACCAAGCTCATCGCAGTTTAAGTACTTGAACACGCAACAACTTTCCATCCATGTCAGTTGAATTTCACTAGTCATAGGCAATGACAGTTTTCGACTTGGCATGAATCAATTACAGTGTGATAAGAGGACAAAATAAGTACCTTTACTTATATTGATGAACTGCTCTAGTTTGTCTTGATACAAGCTCAATCTCTCCTAAGAATCACAAATCACCAAATTGCATATATCAAGTAAAACTCATGAACATCATCTTGAAGTCATAAGCTTTCTGTCAAATAAATTAATAAACCAACACAATGAAGAAGAAAAAAATAAAAACTCCATAAGAAAAAACCCACATATTTTAACCTCAGAACCGAAAATAAACAAATCAGAGACATCATACAGAAACCCTATCCTGATCCAAAAACCAAGTAAATTACACAGAACAAACCAAGTAAATTACACAGAACCCATCAAATTAAACAGCAAAGCAAACCCAGATGCCTAAATTCAGAGATTTAAGGAAAAATTATCGGATACAAGAGCACATACAAGCTCTGTCTTAATAGGATGCTCATCAGGGTGAATTCCAGTAGTTCTCAATCTCACTGAAAAAAATCATGAAATTAAACAAAAACAATCAAGAAATCACCAAAATCAACACCGGTCAAACTGAAACAAACTAAATTATTGGTAAAAAAACTGGTCTTGATAGACTGTTCATATATACATACATGCAAAGATAGTAGAAGTAGCCTTAGCAAGCATAAAGAGAGATTGAGCCCTTTGAAGAGGTGGCATTTCATCAAGGACATCAGGGTTAGCAAGAGACAAGAATTCAAGCAAATGGGTCTCCACTAGTTTTAGATTTGCCAAGGTTCTTTCTACTGCTTCGATGGTTGATTCTGGTACTCCTCTACTAATACTACTGCTGCTTTCCATTTTAGCTTCTCTTAGACAGCAAAGAAAGCAACCTTTTTTATGAAGATTTCTCTGTGTGCCTCTTTTTCGTAAGGGTTTTGAGGAAGATGTTGTGTTTGGTTTTTTTTTTGGCGAGTTAATGTCCAGGGCTTCTAGGACGGAAGCTGAGAGGTCTATGGCGGCAGGCAGCTAAGGTTCAGGGTGAAGAGTTTTGTTCGTGTTTGGTGTTTCACACGTCACAGCCTTTTTCTACTATCATTTCCAGTTTCGGGCTCTCTCTCTCTCTCTCTCTCTCTCTCTCTATTAATTTCAAGTTAGAAAATAAAAAAAAAATAAAAAAAAAGTTAGAAAATAAAATATTTATATTTATTATATTTTAATAATTTATCTTACAACTAAATATTTTTTTATAATTTTTTTTAGTTATTTAAATTGTTATATAATTACAACTCAATGCCTAGTTATCTTTAAAAAATAACTAATATTTCACTTTGTAACAAATAAATAATTCCAAATTCTTAAATATATTAAATATATTCACTTCATAAACTGTACAATTTTTTTAATACAATTTAGATGATTCATCTCAGCTATTATAATTTTATTAATTTTTTTATTGATTAAAGATGAGAAAATCAACACTTGAATTATGAAAAAACCTATTTTCAATTATTATAAACTTAAAATGTTTATATTTTTTTATATCATAAATAATACTATTTTATTATTTAAAAGGTATTTGGTATCGATATAAACTCTCTAGTAAATAAATAAAGATTAAAATATCTACTTAATTCGAACTTGAGAATTATTAATAACATGGAGTTAAATGAGGTCGTGTCCACCCAGAATGTCCGGTTGGGCGTGGACGCGTCCAAGTCCAACATGCGACCAGATCTAATGTGAGGTTGAGTGTGGACGCGTCTGGGTCTAACATGTGAGTAGGTGTAGACGTGTCCAAGCCCAACATGGAGTTGGGCGCAGACAAGTCCAAACTCAATGTAAGGTTGGGTGTGGACGCGTCCAAGGTTAACGTGGAGCTGGACGCAATCGCGTCCATACCCAACGTGGGGTTAAGCATGCATGCATAATTACATCAAAGCATATATTTTTATGTTTACCCATGAAATCATAAATAAAACCATAATTACGTCAAAGCATATATTTTTATGTTTACCCATGAAATCATAAATAAAACCCTAATCTCAAAGTAGTCTAACAAAAAAAGCTCATGACCAAGTTAAATACTCACATAAATATATTGTGATGTGATTGCATAAGGCTAGATTCAATCTTAGCCAATTAATTTGCCAACTTTCTTGGTGCAAATTACAAACATAAATATAAAAGTGTGAGTTTCTGGAATCAATTTTAAATGTGGTCAATTTAACTCTACAATCCTCACCAGACATAAGGTATTTAAGTGTATTCTTATCAACAACTGTCTTATAAACAACAGAAATCAATTGCTCATAACTTAACCATCTAAAATGAATTAAATTGACGATATAATAAAAGCTTGAGGTATTTATAATTAATCATATATTTTATTCATGTGTTGATGGTCGGTAAAAAATACATAATTGTGTGTGAGGAACATTGAATACAAATGCACCCTTATTGAGTTCTTCTCTTGCGACTACGACGAGACTTTGAAGATGATCGAACTACTCGAAGACAATGATCATAAACCTTTTGAGTCCGTTCAAAAAATTCTGGCACAGTCAATACAAAATTCGGTGTAGTGGCAACAAACAACCCTAGAGCATGGTAGCAAAACTTTGAAAACTTGGTGACTTCGGGACAACACTTGTTTGGAATATGTTTTTTCTTGAATATTGCCGCCAAGGTTGCGTTACTACAAGATGGAAATTTTGTTGCTAGAGGCTTTTCACATCGATCCAAAACCTTAAAATATCCCGGAACTGGTTCGGGATACTTTGACGGGTTCCAAAAAGCATTTGTGTGTATTGGAGAATTTAACATTACTCCAACTGCGAAGAGCGTGGCCATAAAAATAAAAAGGTTATTTGCAGCTGCCATGATAATGGATGTCAGATGTGGATAAATATTTTAAAGATATTTATAAAAATGAGGATTATGATTAATATATAGACCTAGAGAGAAGGTAAGAATTTTTAATGATTCATAAATTTTTTTCAGTTTTTATTCATTTAATTATTCATTAAATGAAGTTAAAATATATATTTTAAATATACATTAAATGAAGTTAGTAACAACACATTGTTATAAAATCTCTTAAGTTAACTCTTTTATAAAACTTTAGTTAGATGTTAATTCACTTTATTTTACTTGCTAATAAATTTCCATTGGTTAGGGTTTCTTAATTCTTTTTTTTTTTTTTATGTTTTTTTATTTTTCAAATAATATTAATTTTATTAGTCAACATAAAGATTTTGAGCATGTGTCCTATAATAGAAATATTATCAAAATATACAGTAGAATAATAAAATAAATAAATAAAAATTATTTAAGGCAAAATCCATAAAAAAAAAAAATATTAAGGATACTGGGATAGAAGGTGTCAACAACCTTTAAGATGTAAAGGAAAATCTAGATTTGCAGTTATGGCTATAAAGGATACAACAATGTTTGGTATAAATTATTTTGCATGGTAAAACAATGATGTGTTTTGGTTTATTAGATATAATAGAGATATTTATCAATTTTTTTAAGTTGAAACACATTTATAATTTATAACAAAATTAATAATGAAAAAAAATAAACATATTTTATATTTATTTTACCATGTTCAATCTTTTTATATTATATGAAAAGGGGATTAGCTTATAATATTATACAAATGTCAAAGTTTAAGACTAATGTCGCACCCTCGTGGCGGAGCGCGGCAATCATCGATTGATTTCGGGGTCTTTTGTTTTACTATGAACAAGGGAGTCGCCACCTAGTATTATAGTCACTAGGAAATCTAACTGGTCTTTCAGAGATTCTAAGGCAAGAGACTGGTTGCGTAAAGGGAAGGTGTTAGCACCCTTAGACGCCCTACCTAAGGTAAGTTGATTGGTGTTTGGTTTGTCTTATAATTGCTATGGTGTTGGTGTTTTTTTTTTTAATCCCATCAGTTTTTCTCAGTTTAATTCTGACTAAATTTATTAAGATAGAAATCCAAGGAGATTCCATGTGCTTTACAAGCTTATTTTTCCCTTGGTATTTCAAGAGTTTGTGACTCGTAAATCGCAAGGAGAAGGGACAAAAATTTAAAAATCTAGGGTGCTTTAAAAAAACCTATTTTTTTTTATCTTAGTGTTTTATACTATCACGGCTCGTAAACCGCGG